TATAAGGTAGGAATCCCTATATGATATACGAAAGAGGAAAAGAGTGAGAGATTTTGTAGTTAATAAGAACAAGTAATTAGATGCGTATCGGTCGATTCGATTCGGTTATGAAGTTTATCAGTTTGACTTATCGGTTAACGATTTGTAGACATGCTAAACTGTAATTAAGAATCATTAAGATATTGACTTATCGATGATTATCGATTATTAATCGTTATCGGTTATTAATTTATCGATTTAATCATTAAGATTTGACACAAAATAAATAATTGAAAATCACTTAGAAACATGATGACAAACCAAATAAACCAATGCACATGAATTGATAGATTGCATCTTGCTCAAAAACAACACTAACACATGGTAGGATAACCGAAAGTTTAAGACTGCTAGAAATAAAAACATGAAACTAAATCTCAAGTCAAGGAACTTATATATATATAATGGTATAAATATAATATATTAATTTACTATCAGATTATTGGTTAACCCGTTAAGAAAATATCTCAAACCGTGGGGAATTATAATCCGATAATAAAAAATCAAAACCGTTAAACTAATAACCCATCACCGATGAACCAATAACTTTTTTCGCTTCAAATTATCAGTTTTGATTCAGTTTTGAACAGCCCTAATTACACCGCATATGCATTGAGATGACTGATAGTAATGATAATTATTACACGGAGAAAGTAAGGGGTCGTTTGGTAGGGAGTATTAGGAGAATTAATTCATGTATTATGTAAGTTATTATTTAGTACTATGTTTGGTAGGAATTTGGGTCTATGTATAACTAATCCATAAATTAGTTATACACTACATGGTATTATATGATGTATTATTAATACCTTCCATTTAGAGATATTAGTAATAAATAGGATTTAATACCATGGGATAAGTCTATGTAAAGACAAAAATATCCCTCAAATCATTTTTGTTTATTTTCTTGATTTCATGTTTTATATTTGTACTAGTAAATTTATTTGAATAAATTAGCTTATAAATTATTTAGAGAGAGTAGTTTGTTACTAAATAAATCCAAAACAAATCAATACAATATTCGAAAAGTGAGTTGTTTAACATTTACTTATTAGAAAAGCAAATATATCACAACATGACGTTTGTGATCTTAATTTAATGTATTGTTTGTTGATACACACATATATAAACAAATAATAAGAAAGTCATACAAATATATGTGTTTGACTTATTCAATTTTACTATTATTTACCATCTTTTATTTTTTACTAATCCATGCATTATTAATCTTTGTAGCAAACGAATCCTAAGTGTACAAGTGAACATTAACTTTAGTTGATAAGTAAAGGATTATGACATGAATGAAATAAATAGGAAGTGTCCATAATGCCCCTACCTCTCACATGAAATGACTTAATTGTCCGCATTTTGTCCATTCTATACCCAAAAATCATTTTTAACCATGTTGAATGGAATTAGGACACTTGTGAAATTATGATTTTTGAGTTTAAAGGCTAAGACTTGAGCATTGATTTCATTAGTTTTAAGTTGTAGTTAAGAAATGATTATAGAAATAGAAAAATGATTATAAAAGTAGAATATGTAATTCTCAAAAGAGGAAAAAGATTGTTTTCATGTGTGCTAGTTGGAAGTTGAGTAAATCGATGGAAAGGCTGAATAATTCGTACTACTGAATACTGAGGTAGAAGTAGAACCCAAATCATTGTGGATGATAGAGTAGGTTTATTTCACAGTGTCTTTGCGTGTGGATGCTGGAATTACTACATTGGTTGGTATGGTATGGTACTTGAAATTTTGGTATCATAATTTTGGTATTTTATTTTTAAAATTATTATATCATTATCATATTAATTTAATTCGGCATAGTTTGATATTTTGAGGTATGATAAATCAATAATCATAGTTTGCTCAACTTTGAATAATATATACTTGTATAATAAAGTATTATGATTTCGACAATTCAAAAAAATGTCACAATAATACCATATTAACACATTACATATGTAGAAATATATATATATATTCAAAAGAAAGTACAAATAACACATTTATCAATCATATTTAAATACATTTCAATTAAAATAGAGTAGTCAGAGTTTAACGTCTAAACATTTAATTTATACTAATATATTGCATATTTGTTAGTGTTTTAAAAATATATACTCATATGTTATCTATGTAACTATATATTTTGATATGATATTCGATATTTCTGTATGTTATTTTTAATTATCAAATATCGTACCAAAAAAAAGAAATTAAAATTAATATTACTCCATATACCATACTAAATATTATAATACCAAAATTATGATATAAAAAATTTCACTATAATATGACATTTCGAATATCATACCATGTCTACCCTACCTAGTAACTACTCCAAATCAAACAACATCATCATAATCCCTACTCACTTTCTTACTGTTCAAATGCAACGACAACAAGAAAGCCAAGTTCAGAAAAAGGGATAGACAGGAGGACCATTATGCCTCGGTAAAGAGCAAAATAATAAAACTATATAATACTTTCTTTAATCTATATTAAGGTTCCATTTGAAAAGCTATTCTGTAATTGAATAATTATATAGTTTAGTTGGTCAGATAATTATTTGGTCACAAGAAAATTTGATATAATTGAAAGAGGGTAATTACACTCTTCATTCTTAAGGAGGGGTTGTGAATTATTCGTAATTATAACGTGTAATTATAAGTGGATTACTTTTTAATTTCTTAGTTTTATTTTTATTTTATTTTTTTTGTTTTAATTTATTTTTATTTTTATTATTCTAAAATTTTATTTTTATTATTTTTTATTTTTCATTACCATTCTCATTCTCAACATTTACTTTATGTGATTCCATGTAATTTTTTGTATTATCTATTTTTATGTCATGCTTCTTTTTTTATTGGCATAGTTTTGATAGTATTCTAATTTTTAAATTCAAGTAGAATTTATTGTTGATTAAGGTTATATGCTTATGTTTTTTCCTTTTTAAAAATAAAAAAATAAATCATATTTATGTATGTTATGTTGCAATTTGACATAAGACTAATTTGTATTGAATTTAGAACTTATGTTATATTTTCAGTTTCATTTGTTTTAGTAGTATTGACTTGAGACTTCACATTGCAAGTCATTTATTTTTAGTTAGATTTGATCGATTATATTTTTGCCAAATGTTTTAATAATCTATATGACATTTTATTTATAATATTAAATTTTTTTTCAAACATGCATTTCATTATGTTCATAGAAATCTTGTACTTTTAGTTTTTATGATTAATTCAATTGAAATATACTAATTTGAAAAATATAAATCAATTATTTTTTCATAATATTAGTTAAGAACATATGTTAATTAATTAATATATTTCAAAAGACAATATATATCTTAAATATTTAATTTTAATATAATTTATAAAGTTTCTTATTTGTCTAATACAAATTTTAAATAATTAACTTTTATTTTTAAAATTTAATATAATCTTATAATTGTAATTGTGCATCCAAACAGTACATTTATAATTATAATGTAGCAAACAAACAAGTCAGTGTAATTACTAGACTGGTAAATTACTAGTCTAGTAATTATACCAATTCTAATTACCTGATGGCTTTCCAAACAGACTCTAAGTTAAGTGTTGAGAATTGAGATACCTTTTAAGAAAAATATTTAAGGACATAAAATAGAAGTTGACATTTCACTATTACTACATTTTTATTATTTCTAAACTATTCTTTTATAAAATGTAAAAATAGTTAAGAACCTTATTAAAAAGAATGATAAGTATTAGGAAAAAGATTCAACAATTTTCTTAAATTTTAAAAAAATCACTAATTTTAAGCTATTTAAAAAGTCGCAATAATTTATTTAATACGGACTAAATGGAATATACAATACAGAGATATCCTAATGATCCTCTTAGGTCATTTGGTTGGAAACAAGTTAGTTTAAAATTAATTATCTTGATATAAGTTATCTTGAGATAAATTATTTCATCATATAAATGAGATAATTTATCACATCACTATAGTGTAAGGGCTTGTTTGGATGAGATTATAAAAAAATAACTTACAAGTCAAAAGTTAAAAATCAATAGTAGATGATACATTAATTTTGACTTGACTTATTTTAAAACTTTTTTTGCCTAAAAATGAATGCTTAAAAACACTTTATAACCTTTCCAAACACCTACAAAATTAAAAGAGTGCTTAAAATTCAAAAAACACCTAAAAATAAGTTAATTCAAATGGGCACTAAGTAGCATATATAATTTCAACTGCCTAATATCTCCAACCAAACACATGATAAAATAGTCCTACATTTTATCCCTAAAATTATCATACCTTATACTTCACACCAAATGACTCCTAAAAATAATAATAAGAAGAAAAATATATACTCCCTTCTCATCAATATTTTTATTTATTAATTTGATTCGGCGCTAAGTTAATTTTTTTTTAAAAAAAAAACAAGAAGTTTTTTTCTATTTTGTGATTGTTATACCTCAGACATGTCAAATTTTGAAATTAAATGTCAAATTAGAGGAGAGATATTTTTTATCCATTCCATTTTTAATTGTCCTTTTATGAATAGAAGACTAAAGTTGATCATTGTTTCAAACTATATCGTTAATAGTTATTGTTTTTTGAGTATGAAACGAAGTAAAACGATATTTAAAATATGAAAAAGAAATTGTTTTTCTCAACAATTGATTAATTAAAAAGATAAATGCATGTGTCATATAAATTGAGTCAAGAGTACTACTTATTGTCATGGGTTGTTTGAGAAAGAAAAGTAGGTTTCCTTTTTAAATAGATAGTTGCTGGTGGTGGTGGTAAGGAGATAACTTTTTCCTCCCATAAATCCTATTAGTATATATTTCCATTGAAGCTTAGTTAGGCATATATAAAAGTCAATAATGTAATAGTAGGTGTATTCTTCTTCCTTGTCATTTTATATATGTTGTAATAACAATAATATATATACTTGCAAGCAAAGGCTTTAATTAGGTATGGAGTCGGCTATTGAAAGAAGATCAGGTCATTTTGATGTATTAAAAAAGCAACAAGGTCAGGAGGAACTAGAGCTAAGGTTAGGGTTAGGGTTAGGATCGGGTGATATGAAAATGGTGGTTAGAAATAACCAGCTGGGGTCTTCGTCTTCGTCTTCACTTGTTTTATGCACTAATACCTCAATTCCACATTATTCCCCACCAGGAATTTGGTTCTCTTTACGTTCTTCAGTTAACCGGTAATTAACCACTTTAATTCTTTGCACAAATTTACATTTTTCTTCGACCATTAATACTTCTTTTAACATTTTCATTGTTTGTTATTGACAGGAAAGGAGATGTTCTACCTCAGCTTCCAAAAGCGTTTATAAGAGTCAAGTAAGTTCTCCATACATGGTTCTGATACGTGCATAACACACACACATATATATATGGTTTTATAATTGGATCCATTAAAATAAAATTGTGTCATAAGCCATGGTAAATATATTGTCACACATTTAGTATACTTAATGTCACATAAGTAATTAACCAGCGCACATTTAAAACGTTTTTCCTAACACATACTGCAAATACATAGTATCTTGTACTTTAAGTTTCCTTTTTAATTGTTATGGTTTCTGAGCTTTTTTTAGAGCCAAATGATAAAAAAAATTTTACTGATATCTTACAATTTATTTTTATGTAAAAAATTCTAATTTATAGTATTGTTTTTACATATACACACAGGTAAATATAAAACCGTTTCAATAATCAACTACTCCTATTAGAGTACTAAATAACTTTATGTGATAGTTTAATTTTCATTATTATTCTTTGGAAAACAAACACGAAAGATTGTGGGTTTTGCTATTAATCTTTGCTGGGTTTTTTTTAAAAAAGTAGGGCAGAAAAAAGTATTGATTGAATCTCAATAGATTGAAATGGTTTGCAATAATTTTCAATAATTTGATTAACTATTTAGAGGCTTTAAATAGCCAACATAAAATAATTTAAAATTCAGAAAATCCTAAAATATCTCAATAACTAAAACAATCTAACTAAATTTCAAATTTATCTAAATAGACAATTTATTTTACTAAAAATTACTACAGTAACAAAAACAAACTTCAAAAATCTTGAATCAATGTGGATAAGGTATAAAAATTCTTGACCTATAATAAAATTGTCAGTTACACACCTAAATTGTGCAGAAATTTTACTATCCCTCTGAACTTAACTTTTTTTTAATTGTTCAACCCCTAAAAACTATGCAGAAATTTTACTATCCCTATGAACTTAACTTTTTTTTAATTGTTCAACCCCTAAAAACTATGGAAGGATCAATTTTTTTTTTTTATGTGAGGATCATATAATCCTCACTTAGTATGACTTAATATGTGGATAAATTAGGTGAATTTATATTAATACTAGGAAAGTTTCAAAATATTATAATTTAGAACCCATAGACTATAGTAATGTAACTTGGTGCATCATTGATATATATTTATTCACACCATAATTGAGTATGTAAACAATCATTTCGTTACAATATAATCCTTGTGATGCAACTAGGCCCTAGATCAATTTATAGGAGTAATACATATGTAAAAGCTAGTTTGACTAAAAAATAATTTGTGTGATTATATTGGTGATGGATCCATATCCATGTATAGAAAAGATAAAGATGTTGTCAAACGTCTGCATCACATGGTATTTTCAGGTTATTAATGATGGTGTTGTTGAAAGAAATTAAGGGTCACTTACTTTTCTTTTTTCTTATATATGGTGTGATGTGAAAAGAGACGAGAAGGTGACAATCTTCATGCTTAAAACCTACCTGGTTACAAAGCTTGGTCTCTCCAACCAAGCTGAGGTTAGTGTCTTCTCTGTCATTGCGATCTATATGACTTACGTTCCTTTTTAATTAGTTTAAAAATAAATGACACATTTTTATATTTAATATACTTTTACTTCAATTTATATGATTCTTTTTAGTCAGTCTCAAAGAGCAGGGGCGGACCCACCCTTACTCAAGGGGGGTTAAGCAACATCCCTTCATCGTATTACATTGTATATAGAGATTAAATTTTGATTTAATAAATATATATACAAGTATTAACACTTGTTGACAGAAGTTACAAGTTTAGTCTAATAGTTAAGGTGTTCTGAAAATTCTTTGAGGTTGTATGTTCTAGTCCTACTAGTCATAATTTTATTTTTTTACTACAACTATTGACCTTCCTTAATGACAATCCTGATAGGTTTTACTACAACCGTTGACACCTCAAAAAAGAATGACTAATTTCTACATTTAGTAACAATTTATATGATTTATAGTCTCACAAATATTTATAATCTATTTTAGAAACAAATTTTAAAATATTTTTTTCTTTCTTAAACTCCGTGTCAAGTCCAACTAAATTATATAAATTGAGACAGAAGAAATAATAATTTAACTTTAAAATATTTATTTTATCCTTAATAAAATAATTTACAGCTATATAAATATTTATTATTTTAAACATAAATTTCAAAGATCTTTCTTTCGATCTTAGCTACACTCCGTGTGAAATCAAACTTAATTCATATGAAAAGGGATGGAGGGAGCAATTATTATATTGAGAGTTGCATGGATAAACATGAATAATGATTAGTAGTAGATCAGTAATAATCATTGTCTGCTGGGTCATTTCTGACTTTCCTTCGTATCATAGATTTATGATACTTTCATTTTGGGTAAAAGATACCAACAAATAATTACATTTCCAATAATTATTCATTGTTGGCATATATTACAACAATTAAGAACCTTAACCAGCACTTAGTAGAGTAGTAACTTCTTTTACACTAAATATCATGCATCCTTAAGGCCCTACATATATTTGTAGTGCACCCTTTGAAGGGTCGATTATATTTTTATTAATAGAGATAAAGAAAAGTATATAAATATTGGATTATCTTTTGAGTCTGATTAATCTGTTTGGAAATCAATAATTTATTAGTGTTTGTTCAAAAATTTGGTTGATAATTTGATGTTCGAAAACTAATTACTTAAACAGAGTTCAAAGTGAAATGTAGTAATAAATGGAAAAATCATTTTGGCCAGAATTTGATCAGAATGGTATTTAACCTATGCTTCATAAGAAAACCTCATTTTTAGCTCATCGATTAATTATTTTCTTAACATTAGCCTAAAATCTATATAAGGGGGATCCACAATTGAGCATCTGATCAAATTTCAGTAATAGTTGGTAACAGGATCAACTACATCGGAAAAGAACACTTACTTTGTCTCAAAATAATTACTCCAACCTTTTACTTAACACTTAACACAGAGTTTAAGATATAAATAATGACTTTTGAAATTTATAGTTTAAAATAGATATTTGTGTGACTATAAATCATTTCATTAAGGATAAAATTAACATTTTAAAGTTAAATTATTACTTAATATAAAAATGTGTCATTATTTTTTAAACTAATTAAAAAAACAAAACAAGTCATATAAACTGAAATAAAGGGAATATAATTTTAACCAAAAAAATATTATCCCAAAATAATCAGTATATACAGCCTTGATAATATTTTTGTTATAAGAGTTCCCAAATCGTCTGGGACGATCTTATAAATCAGGAAGGAAGAGTACAATTACATCTGATTATTAATTACAGCAACTTTTATCCTTCAAAAAAAAGGAAAGGCATTTGACTCTTGTTGTTGTTTATCATCTGAACAAGATTAAACATAATAAAGATAACTAAATTAGTATATATGACACTTTAAAGAAGTATTTAGAATATTCAAGAGTTGTAGAGAAATGAAGTATTTCTAGATTAAAAAAAATACATAAAAAAGTTTAGAAATAAACATTCTAGAATATACTATAGTAAATATCCTTAGCTAGATTTTTTCATCATCACCCGCAAAAAGTGACCATTTGAATTGTAAGTAAGAAAGAATTAAAGAGGGTAAGTCACAACATGTGAGTGAGAAATAAGAGATAGTTGTTGGAGTGTGAATGTACGAAAAATTATGTATAAGAATTGTAAAATTGAGACGGGTATTTACCTTTCAATACTAAAGTTCAAGTTGTGAGCAAACGATTGTGTCTGTCATATTAAATATCCAACAAGTAATATCTCTGATGGATATATCTAAGCAATGATCTTGACCCTTGCACCCAACTTGCTTTTCAGAATTAGGATGCCTAAAAAATATATGTTCACATTTTAAGGCATATATACATAGAATCTTCTTTGGAGCTTAATGGGTGCACATAACCCCACCTCATCATGTAGGTACCTCTGATTATAAGTACAAATTTGCTCCCTCTAAGTTAGACACGATCAAAGAAACTTTATCATTATCGATCACTATAAGCCCTAACATTAAGATGTCGCTTGACAGAGTATATTGAAGAAAATAATGCACGCATTAATTTTTTGTTAGGTACACTTTTTTACCTTGTGTAAAACAAATGCTTGTATTACGAATACACTCTATTGTGTATTGATGTATGCATTATCAATACCAATATTTTTTATGCATTAGTAATGCAATGGGTACTAATACATTCATTAGCATTGGTTAAAGACGCAATTGTTCCTCAAAACTTTTTTCACATCCACCCACCATATTTGTGGAGAGTACTTTTGTAAGCAACTAAATATTTTTTTAAAATAATTATGCAATGCATGTTGTTTTTAATAACCACACCAAAAGCTACATAAGAAAAATCTCAGCATTAACTGATGCAAGCATAACTAATACAAACATTATTAATACACTATAATTTGCATTTATTCCTATACACTCTACTAAACGACCCCCAAAAGTTATTGATCAAATTGAGAATCCGGTCATTAAACCTTCCTTTAGCAACCAAATATTTCTTTCGTTAATGTTCATGTTTGTCGCTAAAAAACCTCAATAACGACAGTTATATTGATCGTTATAGCATAAAAGATCATGTTCCTTAATTATATGACACTTTTAACAACTCAATGTTCTTATGCTAAAATTAAATTTTATTAAATATAATTAGATAAAAATTAATCATATGCTTTCACATACGTACGCACACATCCAAACGCACTTAAAATAGTCAATTCCCATGTAAAATAGCATCGTTAATTACAAAGAAATTAAACACTTGATATACTTTTGTGAAGCAATAATATAATTTTTTTTTTTTATCAGGTTGAGATTTCATGTATGGGGCAAAATTTGATGCATAGTCTAACCTTGAAGCATGTACGTGATGCTATTTGGTTGCCAGGATTGGTAGAATTCTTGAAGTCGAAGACAGAATTCATTAAAAGTTCAGAAGGAGCTAGTGTCAACTATCTCATGTCATTAGACTATGGTAGGACTTGCCTATGAATTATATAGCTTAGAAGTTAAGTAAAGTTTAGAAATTTGTCTTTGAACCATAACCTTTTCCATGAATGTAATGATATTAGTAAGTAAAATTAACTTTTCATACATTTCAATCTTTATTTTTTATTTTACTTTTCTTTTTGTCTATTTAAGTAGGCGTTTGAACATGCAATTTTATTTTGTGATTTAAAACTATGAGATGAAATCAGGTTTTGGATAGGAAAGTTTATCTCATAATTTCAAATCATGAGATGAAGTCCAAAAATTTTGATTTGAGAACTTCATCTCATGATTTTACATTTTTCAAATACTAAAAATTGATCCACAAGTTTATATTTTGTAAAAAAAAAACAATTCACCATTTTATATCTACCAACCATTTATTTCATATATAAACAAAATTTATTGGTGATATTCTTACTCTTACCAACCTTTAAATTATTTATATCGGATATAAACATTACTCTCATTAATCAAATTTATTATTACTTCAACAAGAGTAGTACACTACAACTCATGTTCAATTTTACTTTTGAATTAATGTTTGATCAATAGAAATGTTTTTTTTTAAGAATAGCTTTGTGGCAATGTATTGTACTTTTGTTATGGAAAGCTTATTTGATAAGATTGTATAAAGACGATTTTGATGGTTTTCACAACTTATGAAGATTTTTATGTTTATGAACAAAAAGTACAACTTAAAATCCAAATTGCATAATGGGCATTAAGAATGTCATTTTCTATATTTATTACTCCCTTTAGTCTATATTAAATGAACAATTGGAATATGGCATACCCCTCAAAAAATATTTAATAAAATAAATTATTGACTAATTTCTCTCTATTACCCTTGGATTATTTTCAAACTAATCTCCTAGAAAATATAGAATAGTTAAGAACCTCATTAAATGAAGGGTAAACATGAAAAAAAGAATCTCAACAATTCTCTTGAACTATGAGCAATCACTTATTTTAGATTATGAAAAAAATCTCAACAATTCACTAAATATGTACTAGAGGGAGTAACTTTTTAACCACAACATCTTATATAAGTATTTAAGACCATAAAATTTCAAGACATTTTGATATACTACAAACATCTTTATTAGTTTAAGATGACAAAATTTAAAAATCTTCTATTCTCTTAAATTTTGTGCAGAGTCAAACAAACAAATTAAAAGAAGAAAGTATAAAGTTATAGTAGAATCACTTCAGAACATCAGTTGACACTGTAACACTAATATAATAAGTATGTATATGCTAGACTGATAATGTTTCTTTCATTTCGTAAGGCTTAATGAGCATGGTTTAGATAATCCATATCCTTTTATTTGATAAAAGGCATTCGAATTGAAATAATTCAATAATATCAAAAGAAGAAGAGCATCAAACACCCCCAACTTTTGCTCGAGAGGGAACCGTAGGAGAATCCTTAGGTCCGTCGACATGTTATTCCTCATTAGTTTAGTTCCTAAAACGTGAGATGAGCTACTCTTGCAGTGACTCAACTTCGACGGAAGGCTTGTGAAATCTTGTTAATCAAATAATAATGATGCAAGATAATAAGCTAGCGTTTAGCCCCAAGTTCTCAAATATTCTTGGCAAATCATATTTGGGTGAAGTTTCACTATGTGTTTGGCCCCAAAATTTCTCAAAAATATTAGACTATTTCAAAAAATATGATTTATACCCATAAGTTTTAAAAATTATTTAAAATACTCATAAATTTATATTATCATTTTATAATGAATATGTTCCGTTAAAAAATAACCTTATAATATAATTGATAACAATCAACAATAACAAAATAATAATATAGGCAAGACAATATATTAATCTCATATTCAAACTTGTCACTCAGAGGCGTATCCAAGAGGGGGTCACCGGGTTCACGTGAACCCATGCTCCCCTCCTAAAATTATATATAGTAGTGTTATATATTTTTTTAAATATTTAAATATAGATATGTGAACCCACACTTGAAGTATTATATCGTGTGATTATGATTGGGTGCACCTCTCTAAGTGGGGTTAGAAATTTGAATATTTTATTTATCTTGTTTTATTTTCCTTCTTAAAATTGGGTAATGTATACCTCTCTAAGTGGTTTGGATAGGTAAAAATAAATTTGGACCTATAATTTTAAAATTTTAATTATTTTTAGTGATAAGAACCTAAATGTTAAACCAATCAAATGTATATCTTAGATCCACCTTTTCGTAATAATGCACCCATCATCTCAAAATCTTGGATACGTTGTCACTGATGCAGTTATAATTATAACTCATTAAACACAAATTGTTCTTTTTTCTCAATTTTATCACTTAAATTAGAACTCAACCTTTTCCGGAGGAGATAGTAAAAAATATTAGTTGGAAGTTGGAAGTTGGAAGTAATAAATAATGAGTATTTTTTATAAAATATAAAAGTTTTGGGTAATTTTTAAATTTCCAAATATTAGAACTTGGCCCAAATACTAATTTTTTTCTAGCATTTGAAAACTTGAAATACTTGGCAAATATATGACTAAAAACTAAATCTCAAGTTTTTCCAAATTTTTTCCAAGTATTTTTGGAGCCAAATGGGTCTTCGAACTCAACTCTGCGTATGAGCCTGGTTCATCTATAATAGAAAAATGGATCGGAAGAGTTCAAGCCTTGTGAATCTATAATAGTTTAATGTAATGTAATGTAAAAGGGGTTAATTTTAGTAAGGTTTTTCCTTTATATCGCTTATGGTAAAGATACATTCTTCCATACAGCAGAGAATTTCATTTTCTGTCGTTGTGTTCTTAGTTCAGATCTGGAGATTTGAACAAAAAATGGCAACATATATTAAAGGTAGTGGAAATTGGAAAAGAGAAAAATGTACATTAAACAAGAGAATCCAAAAGAGTACACTGCCAAAAATGTGCACAATCTTCTAGTTTCTATCGGACAAGAAAACGCGTTACATATTATAGACCAACTTCTACACATTATCATTCACATCTCTTTCTGATTCTTCACCCTTCTTTCCAGCACCCAAAAGCTCAGCTGCCAATCTTTCTTCAAGTGCTCTCGCACCTCTTTCCCTGCAATTTATAACTCAAAATATACAATATCACCATGCAAGACGAAAAGAATCATAACAAATATGAAACTATCCGGACTGGAATAAACAATCCTAATTTCTCACAAATTCCTTTTATACGAGCTCTACTTAAATGGAATGTGATATACACTTGTCCACGCATCCAAAACAACTCATTCATTGGTTGGTGACTTCAGATTGGAGCACTGAAAGAATAAACTCTCATTTGACCATGTCATACATGTTATGTGTGTTAACACCAACCAAGTCAAAAGGATCCGACCCACTACACTAACCCACTTGGGTGGGCTAAGCCCAAATACAAAGAAAAGAAATAATATCTAGGCTAAAGCTTGGGCACCCAATAATGGATCCGCAGCATGGTTATATCCAAGCCCAACAATCATAAATAAATGACAAGAGTATAGTTTTCTCATCTAGGGTTAACTGCATACAGGATAGTGAACAAGTTAGAAATTAAGTAGATGTTAATATTTGGTTATGGACAATCATCAAAAAGAACATTAGAAACTCTTGCATGCAACAACATACCCAGTGAAATCACACTAAGAGGAGTCTGGGGAGGGTAGAGTGTACGCAGACATTACCCCTACCTCGAGGAGGTAGAGAGGTTGTTTCCGAAAGACCCATACAACAAAAAACATAGAAATAGAAAATAAAAATGAAGATTTTGTTAACCAAAGCTTTATCGCCTATAGGAAACACGTCACTACCACAATATATGACAAGACATCATTGAATTCTTCATTAACGTATTACCCAGATCATTCTCATAAATGACCAGGGCATGAATGCATTGTGTACTGAACTGATAACTTATCTTCAAGGGAATTTTTCTACATTGTCTATCTTCTCTGATACTGGGGGTGGGGGGGGGGGGGGACAGTAG